TTCAGAGGTGCAGACCCTGTCACTGTCTCCGAAGACCGATTGCATCTGACTGATAAAACTATCGAAGTCCTGAAGGCTGTGATCTTGGCGTTCGACTAGGGGCGCCATCCAGGCTTGCGCAGTGCCGGTGAGGTAGGTGCCAATAGTTTGGATCTTGATGATGTCGCTGGGGTAGCGGTCGGGCTGGAGAGCAAACATCAACCGGATGTTGTTCAACCACCCACGGAATTTGCTGCGGGTACCATCAAACTTCTCAGGCGAGCTGATTCTTGGCTCCAGAGCAGGGTTGGTGGCTTGGGGACGGGTGTACGTATCGGCTTGAACCTGGGCGGCGATGCTCTGGGCAGCTTGTGCGTCGGCTTGGGCTTGCGCTAGGTTGGCCTGCAAGTTGGCGTTTTGGCTTTGCAAGGCGGCGATGGCTTGGCACATATCGTTCCATTGCTTGGCGGTGAAAGGTACGGATTCGGGTTGGGACATGGCGAAAAAGGTTTGTCGGATGCAGGGCTGGACGGGTTCTGAACTTCGCAGTGTTGGAGCAGATCAAACTGTTATGATCTCGACGACGGAGGCGGAAGCGAAGTAGAGAAGACAGGGCGAGAGTGATAGGCGACAACAGATTGTATTGGCGAAACAAGAAACAAGGACTAGAACAGGAGATGAGAAGAACTGGTGTTGATCTGCTGGGGAGGAAGGGAACGGACGAAGAGAGGCCGGCTATTTATAGATAGGCAACCCAGTGTTAAGAATGGGCGGAGCCGATGGAAATAGAGGCGACTTGTGGTGCAGGTTGTTGACAGGTAATGGTATTCAGACCGAAACAAGAACTAGAACAAGACTAGGAAGAACTGGTGTTGATCTGCTGGGGGATCAGGAAGTGGGGAGCTCAGGGGAGGCGGCTCTTTATGCTTTTCTGGGAAGGCTGGGGAAGCGTGGGAAAGCAGAAGGGTACGGAATGAGAGGGAAGCCAAGAGAAGCGCCAAGGGTGGGGGAAGCATAGAAACAGAAGACTGGGGATGGGGTGGCTACGCTGAGGCTGTGGGCGGGTACGTGGGGAAGTATGAAGAAGGGTTTGTAAGCGCCGGGTGTTGGGAGGTGTGGCTACGTGCGGCTGCGTGGAGAAATGAAGGCAGTGGCAGGTGTGGGGTAGCACGGCTGCGTGCGGCTGCGAGGTTTGGCAGATGTCAGGTTTTGACAGGGAATTGACATTGACTGACTGTTGGGATGCTGTCATGAGGTAAGCGCATGGTATGGACGCGTCGTCCATAACACCCAGCAGATCAGAGAACAACAACAACAAGAGGGGACTGGGGGGGCGCCAGCTATGCTCCTAGAGCGTGCGTGGCGAGCGTAGAGAGCATTGCTACAGCTGCTGGCTATGGGGAAGTAGTGGGGGGTGTGGAGAAGCCGAGGGGGGATTAGCGAAATGAGAGGAGAGAGGAGGAGTGGCGATATTGCAAGAGGATTGGCGAAATGAGAGGAGAGAGGGGGAGTGGCATTGACATTGACATTGACACTGACATTGACATTGACATTGACACTGACATTGACACTGACATTGACATTGACATTGGCGTTTGACATTTGGCGGTTGACATTGGCGGCTGTCAGTAGGTAAGCTTATGGTATGGGCGCGTCGTCCATAACATTTCCTTCAAGCTCTTGAGGAGCGTCCGGTATTTCTCTAAGAGCGAGGCAACAGACCGTGTCTTTTTTAAACTTGTTCCGTCGCCAAGCCTTGATGAATGGCTTGGAAGTCATTTCTATGACTTGGGGATTGCGAAGGGCATTGGCTTGAGCAAATCGAGATACGTAATGAGGTGCGGCTTGTAAGGGACGAGTATCCACAGGTTTGATGATCCGAACAGGTCGAACAGGTCTTTTGTCATAGACCGGATCTCGTTGCACATCAAAGTAAGGATTGTTGTGTTTCGGGATGTATTCGACGTCTTCCCAGTTTCTTGAAGTTCTTTCGCACTTGATGGTGACAGACTGCGGTGCGTTTGGTATAGGGCCGTAATTGGTCCAGCGAAGGATAGGTAAGGTACTCATCGAAAATTGTTCAGCATAATTAAAGAAACGCCAGAAAGGCATTCCAATAATAGCATCGTAAGCCAGATTACTGACTAGCCAGGGAAGTTGTCCAACTAAGAAAAGCGACTGAGATTCGAGATCCCGTAGATCTAACTTTTCCGAAATGACCGTGACGAGAATCATGTATGATTCTTTGTCGGCCAGCCATATCTGCTTCGGTTCGATACGTTTCTTGGGAAACTTGTACTTTTCGACGAATGTCTTGACAAGGAATAACCCATTTGCGCCGCTATCAAAGAGACCACAAGCAAACTTGTTTCCGATGCGACAATGAGAGACCCAGAGTCCAGCAGACAGTGGTTCAAAGGCAGGTTTATTGGTAGGATCGTATGTTGTAGGCCTAGCAGAGCTACCGAGGAGCTCTATTGACCTTGGAAAAAACTCGAAGATTGATTTGTAGTAGTATTCGTAGTATTCGCAGAGTTGATGGCGTCATCGAGAATTTCCGTAATGCGTGACCCAGCATCAACCTGATTGGCTGAACCTTGTTGTTGATTAGGTTGGCAACTGCGCTGCGGAGTTGGAGCGCTACGACCGCGCTGTTGAAAACCACCGCGTCGGTTCTGGGTTTGCAAGCCTTGCTGTCGATTTTCGGGATTTGACCAGCATTCAACTCTCCAATGTCCCATTTTGTTACAAAGGGGACAAGGAGTCGTTGGGCGTTGACGAGGAATGTGAGTAGTTTGCCATTGTCCACGTCGATGAAAGGGCTGTTGACATTGGTAGGGAACTTGACCTGTAGTGAGACGACTCACTCCAGGAGGATAGTATGACGTACTGTGGGCATTGAGTGTTATGGACGACGCGTCCATACCATGCGCTTACCTCATGACAGCATCCCAACAGTCAGTCAATGTGAATTCCCTGTCAAAACCTGACATCTGCCAAACCTCGCAGCCGCACGCAGCCGCGCTACCCCACACCTGCCACTGCCTTCATTTCTCCACGCAGCCGCACGTAGCCACACCTCCCAACACTCGGCGCTTACAAACCCTTCTTCATACTTCCCCACGTACCCGCCCACAGCCTCAGCGTAGCCACCCCATCCCCAGTCTTCTGTTTCTATGCTTCCCCCACCCTTGGCGCTTCTCTTGGCTTCCCTCTCATTCCGTACCCTTCTGCTTCCCCACGCTTCCCCAGCCTTCCCAGAAAAGCATAAATAGCCGCCTCCCCTGAGCTCCCCACTTCCTGATCCCCCAGCAGATCAACACCAGTTCTTCCTAGTCTTGTTCTAGTTCTTGTTTCGGTCTGAATACCATTACCTGTCAACAACCTGCACCACAAGTCGCCTCTATTTCCGTCGGCTCCGCCCATTCATAACATTGAGCCCCAAGGTCATATCATCTAAGTCTTGCTCAAATTCCGTAATCCGAGGATTGGTGTAAGGGGCGAATCGTCTGCCACGACCACCGCCGTGACTACCTCGACCGCGGCTGCCTCCACGGCCGCCACGGGCACTCCATGCCAAGGTAATCAGACGAGGCGTATTGGGCGTATTGGCTTGGTTGCCGTCAGTGAGCCCGTGAGCCACATGAGCACGACGAGCTGCAGTGATAGCTTGATCGAGAGTGATAGGGGTGTTGATGTTGGTAGTGCCCAAGACTTCAAAGTTTGTAACGGCTTCAGCAAGATAATGACCGATTACCGTATTCTTGAGAAGACCGGCCTTGAAGTACCGATATATTTGTCAAGGAAGTCTCCGAGCTTGAGACCGGAGAGCTTGAGCTCAATAGTATTGCGCAAGTTGCGAGGATAAAAGTGAGCGACAAGAGCCGTTTCAAAAGCTGTCCAACTTGCGGGAGCGCCGGAGGCGTAAGTCGTATTGTACCACTCGAGAGCAGTACCCTTGAGATAGGCAGTGAGCGTAGGGGCATACTCTGCCATAGTAAAGGGTATGGCACTTGCAGCTCCAGTACCGTCTGTTCCAGCTGCTACAGCCGGGAAAGTGAGAGACTCGAGAAAGTTGTGGTGAGACGTAACGAACTCTTCGATCTTTTTGGCAGCTTTGGCGCCATCGTATTCGACGAACTTATTCTTGCGAGCGTCCATAAGAAGTTTGAAACGTTCGGCTCGTTGGGTGTCTGATAGCTTGAGTCTGTCCGTCCATTCTTGCTTGTAAACAAGTGTGTGGGCGACGTCCGGTAGAAGGGCAACGTTGACGAGGAATGTCTCGGTGATGCTAGCGGTAGGTGGTGCTACCATGTAACGTCAGAGGAAACGTAGACGATATTGGGCCCTTCTGAGAGGGCTGAGAGCAGTGTATTGTAGTGAAGAAGTAGGTAATAAGCTCTTCGCAGCGGCCGCTCAACTGACAGCTTTATATATGGGCTGCCAGTGGGGCTTGCGTGGCTTCAGTGAGGCTTGGCGCCTTATGTAATGTATCACCGAGAGCTCGGATGGCCAGCCCGGGTCTTGGATCAAGTAGAAGTAAAGAGATACAATATGAAATACAAGTGAGGATGAGATATCCCTGACATCGTCCACGTATACCAGGCAGAAGCTGTACTTTAGTCCTGCTAGGACCGCGTCCATCACACGTTGGAAGGTGGGCGGAGAATTCTTGAGGCCGAACGGGAGTTTGTTGTACTCAAACAGCCCATGGGGTGTACAGAAGGCTGTGAGGTGCTTGTGTTCTTCCTTGATCGCTACCTGCCAGAATCCCCAGTGTAAGTCCATGGTTGTAAACCACTTATTGCCGGCGAGGAATTCAATGGTCAAGTTGATTCGAGGCAGCGGATAGGAGTCGGGTATCGTCTTTGCGTTGAGTTCGCGGTAGTCAGTGACGAACCTTAGTCCACCCCCATCCTGACTAGCGACACTGGAGCGGCCCATGGTGTCAAGGGAATCGTCCCAATCGCTCGGAACGCCCCGTAGAGGTGGTACAGTCACAGAAACAAAAGAAAAATGTTTGGGGAAGGTAGGAATCGAACCCACGCCACCTGGGTGAGAGCCAGGTGTCTTAACCACTAAGCCAAAATGTCTGTGTTCCCGTTACACATGGTGATCTACTGGGTCGGATGATGTTGTCCTTCAGCATCGTGTCGGTGTGCTCTCGTAGGACCTTCTCTTTCTCCTGGCCCTGTCGGCGTGGAGGGTGGGCGATGGGAAGAGTCTCAGGCATTATCTTCATGTGGTGTTTGGAATGTTTGGCTTGTCCGGAATTTGGGGGTCGAACGCTTCCGCATTCGCTAGGAGCACGTCCCGTAATGCTTTGTCTTCTTCTGGTGTCAGGTGTGCCCAAGGCGCCATTGCTTCTATTTGGTCTCGTCCTCGGCGGGCGGCTGGTGACACGTGGGATTGCTCGTCCTCCAGAGGGGTGGCGGCCGCTTCCAAATCCTTCATCTTGTGAATGACTGATGTCTTCGCCAGTTCGCCAATCTTCCCTTGCCCCAACCCTTTCACCTCCACTGGTCCCTCTTCCGGCTCGTCCGTTCCGTAGGTCTTCACTTCCTCTTGGCTCTGAAGCATGTAGAATGCTGAGCCGGTGGTGCTTCTTAATCTGGGCATCTTCCAATGGCGTTGGCCGGCGGCCTTTGGGCCGTTCGGCCATGCGGGCGGCGGTGGCGGTAGGTCATTCTTCAGGTTTTCGGTCAACCATCCGCTCAGCTTCTCCTCCGTCAGATACGCTTCAGGCACTGGTTCTACCCGTAGGTCGTGGTTGCTGGCGGTGGCCATTCCGACGACATGATTCTTCCGAAGGATGCGCTTCCTGGGCGTGAGATTTGCAACCGGGTACAGCCATTCTCCGTTCTCGTCGGCCTTCCCGAGTTGGTTCGCACACCATATGCCTGACTCGCCTAACGCCTTGTTGCCTTCAACAAGGTATGTTGTTCCGGGGATTCCTTGCTTCCTTCCGCCCACCCGTACGTGCGTCACCGCCCTTGGCTTCAACACTACTCGGTCCTGCTCTATGACTAGTGTTGTAGCGTGATGGCCCTAGCGGAGCGACCGTCGGGAGGTGGGTGTGAAGGGGATGGTCTTCTAGTGTTATCTTCATGGGCGTGGTCATTTGCTCGTCGGTTGGTAGTCGGAAGGCGAATGATCTCTTCTCCATGTCCATGACTGCCCCCATTGCGTCGAGCCCTGGGATGCCGATAAGCACCGGTCGTCCCAAGTTGGAAATGATGTTGAACTTCAACTTGTAACTGTGCCGTCCGTTGACGCCGGGCTTGACCCTCAATTCAACGTGGCCTATTGAACGGCCTTCGCCAATTCCCGACAGCTTGCGCTCATACTTGGTGGCCTTGATCTTCGAGCCGTGCTTGGTCTTCAGCATCATGTAAAACTCAGCGTCCATGCCGTTGAGACTTGCTGCAGTGTTGACAACAAGCTCGTCGAGAGGCGTGTCCTCAATCTTCCCGTAGATCTGCGCAATGGTGTACATCTTGCGTAGGTCAGGACTACTTGTCGTGTCCTTTTTGACGTGGGCATGAAGGGAATCAAGGAGGGTGTCCTCCTTGCCTTCATTGGGGGGAATGATCATGCGGTCGTCCGTGAGGTACAGCTCTCGGGACCCTTTCCAGGCGTGGAATCTTTCTTCATTTCCAGCAACCGAAGCAATCCAGGTGTCCTGGGCGGGTAAGTTGTCCCCAGGATGCGCGGTGATCTCGTACTTTTCTCCGACATCGAGGTACCGCCTTGCCTTGCTCAGCAATTCTCCCGTGACTATCGTCAAGTCTTTCAGGAAGAATTGCACCTTGGGGTCATACTCGTTCGTTCCGACTTGTTTCCAGGAAAGGCTGTCGAGGAATTCTCTCTTCAATGCCTTGCGTTGCCGTCGCTTGACCGTCTTCTCCAGAAGCATTATCTCTTCCAGTGAACCCCTCTTGTGTGCTTCCGATATGGCCATGTCAATTGCCACCGCCTTGGCGTCCTCCTCCCCTTTTTTGTCCAATATCGCTGGTGGGCGCCGACGGATGGAGAGAATGTTCCGGAATGGAATCCGTAGAAAGGACAGAGTTCCTGCGTAGCAGTCTTGGAATGGCAGGCGCTTGACATGGTGGGGGCCGGTCTTGAAGGACCACGCTTGGCGCAACCGGTCTCGGAAGTGGTGAATGGCAGCCGAGTCACCGGAGATTCTCCATGCCGCGGTGTGTTCCCAGGGCGGGAGCCCGGAAACACCTTCATCTTGTTCACGGAAGCCGCCCTTGGCGAAGAGGTCTCGTTCGTGGGTCAGCAATTTCGGATAGTCGATGAGGAGCGTGAGGAGCTGAAGGTACCTTGGAGCTTCACGCCATACGGGGGTAATCAGCGTAATGGTCGCTCCGTCCGTGACGACCTTGTCAAGCACTTGCTGAATGGCGAGCCAAAGGGGATTGGCCCAGCCATTCTCAGCGTCCCAGCGAATCTTGAAGGCGTTGTGGGCAATTGCATTGGCGTCCGTCTGGTCGACCGAGCAGTACCTTGAAACCTGGGCGTTCTGCTTCGCGGCAAAGAGGTCCACGGTGTGGCCGTGGGGGCCTCCCTAGGGTCCGTCATCGAGTTGCTGGAAGATGTCCAGGTGCAATTGCCAATCATTCTTGTCAACCAGGTTGATCAAGTAGAGTTCCTTTTCGGGTGGCAGAGACGGGTAGCGTGTTCTGTCAGGGTCCTCCGAGTCGGGTTTTTCTTCTCCCGACTTGGACAGGGGTTGGGGTTGTAACGATTCGTCAGCTGTCATTATTTCTCCGCGCGTCCCCCAGTCGCTTTCGGAGTTGGAATCACTGCCTCTTCTCAGTTCTGATGGTGACCGAGCAGGAAAGGTCAGGCTTTCATCCTGGTCTTGAGGCAGCGATTCTCCGGGGTCCTCCCGCTCAAGAGCCGTTGGTTCCAGGACTAGGAGGCTCTCGGCTCCTAGCCCCGGCGGGGAAAATGCCGCTTCTCAGCATTGGCATTTACCACTTCGGGGCTTTGTTTCTTGGGGCACATTGGTCTCCCCGTCTCGCGGTCCACGTTGTCCTTGAAGTGGTCGCCTCCGCAGGCGTAACACTTTCCGTCCCCGATCCTTGGTGGTCCTCCCGAGGACTGGCCATTGTTAATCTGCACCTTGGCCATTTGCGCGGGAATTTTGGCAACTGCTTTCTTGACGACTTCCTGTACTTGCGTACTGAGGTCGTTCTGCCTCCGCTGGCCGTAGTCGTTGCGCGGGTACGGCTGGCAGGGGTATGGACCTTGTCGTCGGTCCATCATGTACGCCTCGTAACCGGAGTAATCATCCCGGTTGTCGTCAAATTCCGTCAAGTGTACTGCCCGTCCCATGTGTCCGCGTTGGCTACCGGTCAAGCGGAGTTCCTCTTTGAACTTGGTTATCTCGTTCTCCGCCGCCCGTTTAGCTAGCTTCTCGATGTCGACGGTAGGCATGGGGCTTGGCGGGGCGATTTGGACGGCCGTCTTCAGAATGGGCGACGGAGATCCTCGTCGCTGGGGCCGGAACCTCCTGTTGTTCTTCTTGTTCCGGTGACGATGGCTGCGTTCGTCTTCCGAGGAAGAAGCTGAGGAGGAGCCACTGGAGCTTGACTCCGAGTCCGAGGAGGACGAGGAGGAGCATCGGGCGTGGCGCCGGCTTCAGAGCCGTTTCTTGTCAATTCTTTGGTACGCTTCTTCGGCAAATTGGTCGAATGTCACCGCCCCGTCGTACCAGTCCTTGCCACCTATCTTCACTTCCTTGATCTTGTCTTGCTCACGAGGCTTGTGACCTTGGTAGAAGGCATACTTGAGCTGGCCTAGCTCCAGGGCATTGGCGCCGAGGCGATGATTGGCTTCCTTGATGCGGATGGCGAAGTCGCGTGACGTTTCCTTCTTGAGTTTCTTCATACTGGCTACTTTTGCCGAGCGGTAGATAGGGGGTATCTTCTCGTCGTATTGAGCCATGAATTGTTCCGTGAATCGCTCAAATGGAATGTTGGTCGACGACAGGCTGCTCCACCATTTCTTTGCCCCATCCTTGAAGAGGGGACCGAACTTGGGCACCATGTCGTCGAGGTTATCGAAGTACTTTTGGTCCACGGCCCTTTGAGCTTCTTGCTTCAGTCTCTCCAGGAATGCGTATGGATCCTTGCCCGGCTTGCCTTTGAATCTCGCCAAGATGTCATTCTTCATCTTCCAGTGGGCTCGCTCGGATCCTCTTGCCGCTGCTTCAAGTACTGTGGCCGCTGAGGCCGCTCGGGGAACTCCTGCGGGGGTGCCGTCCGCCATTTCGGGATTCCTTCTAGCAACCGGCGTGAACCAGGTGTCCTCCTACTCCCTTTCCTGGTCGGGAGTCTGCGCTCGGGCTTGTTCTTGCGAGGTCGCCGGGGCCACAGCAGCAGTGGCTGGATGGATGGATGGATGGGTAGACGGGGGTTGCGCTGGAGGATCCGCGGGGGAATCCTGAGCAGGTGGTCCTGATACTGGGGCTGGTGGAGTGCTTGGGAAGCCGCCTGGGAAGCTGCTTGGTCTTGTGGTTGTCCGGGACGGGTTCGCACCGGATGATGGGCCTTGTTCTGACGACAAACTCTCAGACGAGGATTCCTCGGAGGAGGATTCCTTGGACTGGGATTCCTTGGACGGGGAATCCGTGGACTTGGCTTTGCCTGTCGGCTTGCGTTCTCTCTTGATGAGCAGAGAACTTCGGTATCGCTTGTAGGCTGCTCGTTTGGCTGTCGCGCTGCTCGCCGCAATTGCTTCCCCGGTTGACGACCGGCTTGAGGAGCGGCTTGCGGAGCGGAGACTGGCGACAAATTCTGCGTCGGCCAGTTTCGCTATCTTGATCTTGGTGAAGATCTATCGACTGATCATCAGTGTCTGGTGGAGATTGGTGCTTCGCTTCTCCGTAGGGAAACAGAGAATGCGACGCGTGAGTAGGTTTCTTGTAAGGTGGCAGATGTGGTTTGCCAATCCGATCTTGGAAATGACCTCGTAGATTCCTTGTAATTCCTTCCTTGTTTTTCCTTGAAGGTGGTCTCTCCTTGTTCCCGGCCAAGCCCCCAAAATGTGAAAGTGGTCAATTATTCCCTGAGATAGG